GTAGAGAAAGTCGAATAGTAGAGAAAGTCGAATAGGAATGATCCGTTGGGGAAATGATTATAACAAATTAAATTAGAACAAAGATGAATCTGGAATTCTCCGAAAAGCACCCGAATCATTGCAATTTGAAGAACTGGCAGAATTGTGATAAGTTAGAATTATTTGCAAGATGATTTTTGAACTCCTGAAAAGGCACCCGCCCCTTTGGGAATAATCAGAATAATTAGAGAGTTAGAATACTTGGCACACACATGAATCAGGAGTTCGCCCCAAAGGCACCCGTCCCTCTGGGAATGGATAGAACAATGAAATTATTCAGGATAGTTGGAGCAAACCTTAATCTGGAATTCCCAAAGGCACCTGTCCCGCGGGGAACAAATTTACTATTTAGAACAGTTAGCAAAACATAGCCCTGTTTGTTCTTTTATTATCATAGTTATTCGATTCAATGGTCAAAAGTAGCTAATTATGAATCTATGATTCGGGAATTCCCCACAGGCACCTGACCCTTTCGGAATACATGAGTAGAATAATTTGAAACATGGATCTGGAGTTCCCCAAAGGGCATCCTTCCCGTGAGGAATAACTAGAACAGCTTGAACAATTACAGGAACTTGCACAACACATGATGTGGATTTCCTGAGAAGGCACGCGTCGCTGTGGGAACAATTGGAACAATCCGAATGGCTGGAAAAAAAGGCGTTATTTGGTCTATTTTGTTAATGTGTCTAATTTGTGAGAATGAGTTTAATGGCTTGAATAGTTAGACGCAATGTTTGCGTACTTCCCCCAAAGGCACCTGCCCCCGTGGCACAAACAAGAAACAACAAATAGGGCTACGTGTCTTCGTCTTATTCTATTTATTCTAACTAATTAGAACCACTCCAATACTCACAATGATTTAAACACATCTGCCATTTCCCAAAGGGCCCCTTCCCCATTCGGGAAAAATAGACTAACACGAATGATTTTACACTTGCCTATGGCAAACATGAATCTTGAATTCCCTAAAAAGGCACCCCGCCCCTTTGAGACTAACTAGTGCAATTGGACAAATCAAAGAAGTAGAATGATTAGAACAGACACTGAATCTGGATTCCCCAAAGGGTGCCCGTCCTTTTGGAATACTTAGAATGATAATATTACAAAGAATCATTGGACGAGTTAAAACAGATGCATCTGGAATTCCCCAAAAGGCACCTACCTGTCTCTTGCAGAAAGACGAGTAATAGGGAACAATGTTCTAATTATACTACTTATCCAGATTCTTAGACTAAGTAGATCAACTAGCAACAATGAATTTGGATTTTCCCAAAAGGCACGCGTCCCTTTATGAGGAACACTCATTTAATAAATCGAAGATAAAACACGCATTGTAATTAGACAGTAAGTCAGGATTTCCCCAGAAGGCACCCGCCCTTGTAAACATAAACAAATGTTAGGATAATCATGAGAAGTAGAATAATTAGCACAAACTGAGTCTGGACTTCCCCACAAGGCTCCCGGCCCATTGAAAATAAGTAGAACAGTTAGAGTTGTGAATGCTTAGACTAGTTAGGACAAACATGAACATTGAATTCCCCAAGGGGTACCCCTCCATTTGGAAAGCAAATAAGACAATGACAATAGTTTAAATCGAAGAATTACGCTGGATTAAATTGAAGAATTATTGTAATTAGACAGTGAGCCTGGATGTTCAGAAGGCACCCGCCCCGTTGGAAATAAATGTTGGAAGAATCATGAGAAGTAGAATAATTAGCACAAACTGAATCTGGACTTCCCCACAAGGCTCCCGGCCCATTGAAAATAAGTAGAACAGTTAGACTTGTGAATGCTTAGACTAGTTAGAACAAACATTAATATTGAATTCCCCAAAGGTACCCCTCCATTTGGAAAGCAAATAAGATAATGACAATAGTTTAAATCGAAGAATTACGCTGGATTAAATTGAAGAATTATTGTAATTAGACAGTGAGCCTGGATGTTCAGAAGGCACCCGCCCCGTTGGAAACAAATGTTGGAAGAATCATGAGAAGTAGACTAATTAGCACAAACTCCCGGCCGATGAAAATAAGTAGAAGAGTTGGAGCTGTGAACGCTTAGACTAGTTGGAACAAACATGAATATTGAATTCTCCAAAAGGTACCCCTCCATTTGGGACGCACATAAGATAATGATAGTACTTATAAGAAGTAGAATAATTAGAACAAGCTTAGATCTGGAATTGGCAAACGGCTCCTGTTTGCTGGTGAAATTGAACCTGAAAATTCCCAAGCACGCCGGGAATAATGGGAATAATGGGAGGAATTAGAGACTTAGAAGACATGGATTTGGAATTCCCAACTGTCACCCTCTCTACTCACCAAAAGAAGGCTGCTCAGCTGGAAATTTTTCAAATGATTGGAACAGTGTGGGAAACTATGGAACTCACCAAAAGGCCCCATCTCTTTTGATAAAAGTATCATACCTAGAGCAAACACGAGTCTGAAACTCTGTAAAAGGCACCCCCACCCCCTAGAGATTACAATTAGAAGAACTAGAAGAATTGTGTTAAAAAAAGTAATTTGCAAGATGAATCTTGAATTCCTCAAAAGGCACCGGAATAATCAGAATAATTAGAGAGTTAGAATAATTGGCACAAACACTAATCTGGAATTCGCCCAAAAGGCACCCGTCCCTTGGGCAATGGATAGAATATGAAACTACTCAGGATAGCTGGAGCAAACATGAGTCTGGAATTCCCAAACAGGCACCTGTCCAGTTGGGAACAAGTAGAATATTTAGAACAGTTAGCAAAACATATATTATCTTATCGTCCTGGATATTCGGATCAATGGGAACAGTAGTTAAGTAGAAGTCAATGAATCGGGAATTCCGCCCAACAGGGCACCTGTCCCTTTCGGAATACATGAGTAGAACAATTTGAAACATGGATCTGAGGTTTCCCAAAGGGCATCCTTCCCGTGAGGAATAACTAGAACAGCTTGAACAATTACAGGAACTTGCAAATAAAGTGATGTTGATCTCCTGAGAAGGCACGCGCCCCTGTTTGAACAGTTAGAATAAGCCGAGTGGCTAGAAAAACAAAGGGCGTTATCTGGTCTGTGTTGTTTAATCTTCTAATTCGGTAGACTCATTTTAATAACTAGAACAGACACACACGATTTACGCGTACAAATACGGCTACGCGTCTTCGTCTTATTCTATTTATTTCACCGAGTTGGAACCACTCCAAGACTTGAAATGATCTAAACACATCTGCCATTTCCCCAAGGGCCCCTCGGGAAAAATAGAGTAACGAGAATGGTTCTGACACTTGCGTATTGCAAACATGAATCTTGAATTCCACAATAATTGGTGTAATTGGACAAATCAACCGTAGAATGATTAGAACAGACACTGAATCTGGATTTCCCCAAAGGGTGCCCGTCCCTTTGGAATACTTAGAATGATAATATCAAGAATCATTAGACGAATTAAATCAATTGCATCTGGAATTCCCCAAAAGGCACCTGTCCCTTTCAGAAACATGAGTAATAGGGAACTGTGTTCTAATTATACTACTTATCCAAGTTCTTAGCATAAGTAGATCAACTAGCAACAATGAATTGGTTAGTTTCTCAAAAGGCACGCGTCCCTTTGGGAATAACTAGCATAACCCGACTAATCAGAAGAGTATAGCCAGGAAATCCACGAAAGCACCCAACCCATTTTGAATAAATCGAAGAATTAGGCTAGTTAGACCATCATTGTAATTAGACAGTGAGTCTGGATTTCCCCAGAAAGCACCCGTCCCTTTGGGAACACATGTAGGATAAATAATGATTAGCTCAAAGTGAATCTGGACATTCCCAACAAGGCGCCCGGCCACTGAAAAACGGAATGTTAGAATTGTGAGAATGCTTAGAATGATTAGAACAAGCATGAGTGTTGCATTTCCCGAAAGGAAGCCCTCGCTTTGGAAATAAAATAAGGTAAGATAGTAGGTTTAGAAGCAGAATAGTTAGAGCAAGCATGGATCTGAAATTCGCCAAAAGGGCTCCAGTCCCTTGCGGGAACAAAACAATTAGAATAGCTGCACAAAAATGGAAATTGCGTTGAAGATCCAAAGCACGCTCGTCCATTCGGGAATATTTGGAAGAATTAGACACTTAGAAGAATTGGATTTGGCATTCCTCAACAGTCACCTGCCCCTGTAAAAGTATATGGAGTGATTCGAATAATGAAAACAACAAGGGGCGTGCGGGTCATGTGAGCCACGCGCGCGCGCCACATTATACATGGTCTACCCTTCCACGGGGGGGGGGGTGGTGGTTCTAGCGAAGGAAAAGATGTGGTGCGGGGGGGGGGGGGTGGTGGTTGTAGCGAAGGAAAAGATTTGGGGGGGGGGAGGGGGTGGTGGTTCTAGTGAAGGGGGGGGGGTGGTGGTTCTAGTGAAGGAAAAGATGTGGTGGGGGGTGGTGGTGGTGGCGGCGAAGGGGTTGGGGTTAGACATTGAGGTGGGTCAAAGGCAAGAATGGGGAAGGGGGGGGGGGTGGTGGTGGTGACTGGAAGCAACGCAGCGAGAGCGGGGGGGGGGGGGGTGGTGGTGCTGACGCCTGACCTCCATGGTGATCACGCCTGAAAAACAGGAACTCTCCCTTTTTGGGAGAAAACAACAAGGCCCCAGGCTTTTCCTTTTCCTTTGAGGTTTCTTTTGCTTCGCTCTTTCTTCTTGTTTTTTTTTTCCAAGCGTCATGCTGTCCTTGCGACGTGGGCGAAGTCCTTGCACGCGCATTTTCTGTCCGGAGAAGAACGAGGGCAAGCAGTTTGATATGTTTTGTGGCAAACCAGTGGTCAACTTGGCAAGAGTCCGGGTTATGCCAAGCATCCACAGGAAACCCACGAGTGCAAGTTATGAGGCTTCAAGTTGCACATGTCAGGACGTAGCGCGCACTTAAGCGTTGGAGTCCAGGGGAATTCCCATCACTTCTTCTGTCGCGAGCTCCTCTCAGCACCTTATGCTGAAGGCTCACTTGGGACTGTAAGGATGTTGCCCGATCCCAAAAGTGGATCAAGATGCCTGGCCCCCAAAATGAGGATGGGAACATGTTCCCCACGTGGTGCAAGCCAAGTCGAATCCTTTTTTGGGGTGGGGGGTCATCCCATACTTTACAGGACCTTATGATCAACCCACCAAACCGGTGGGTTGCCTGCCGAGCCCCGCGCGCTCGAGTCGCTCGAGAGATAAGCCGAGGCTGGGACGGGGCTGGGCTGGGTGTCTCGGGCGCGGAGATCAACTCCATGACCTCCTGCGCGCTGAGGCGAGTGGCTTGGGGGTGTTTTTTTCTTTTTCTCGGCCGCGGGGCGGGTTGATAGCTACCAAACCGTTGGGTTTGGTTTGTTTCGGGGGTCAAGATTTTAGGCAACATGGAGGTGAGAAGAAGATCGTCTCTTCTGCACTTTTTGTTGGTTCAGCGGTGTTTGCTCTGTCAGGTTCCGAAGATACGAAAAAGGAAAACCTTGACATACCAAGTGTTTCCTTTTTTTTGGGCAAGCATTTTTCTCTGCTCACCTGCCGCGCGGTATCTCTTGCGCCGGGTTTTAGCCGCGCCAGGCCTGAGTTGCTGGCCTTGGCAGGTGCGCACGGACTGCGGGGGGTTTGGGGTGCTCCGGGCAAGTGGCTGGGCTTCGGCGTCAAGGGCTTGGGCTCATCTTAGAAGAGTAGCCTCTCTGGGGTGGTTGCAAAAGGAAGACCCAACCGCGCCATAGGTCCCACCTTGAAACTCACCTCTTGAGTTGATGGGCGTTAGTCACTTTTTTGGTTTAAACCGTTCAGACGATTCTTTTCGGCCGAGCCGCTTTTTCGGAAGTGAGACTTAAAAACGTTTCTTTAGGAATGATCTGCCTGGCAGGCGATGATCCTTTCCTGTGGCTCTACGACAGGCGGGCGTGCAGCGGGCCTTGGGGTCGAACCGGGTGATGGGTCGCCTTGGGGTTTAGACGGGGGCGAACTGGGTGAGGTGGGGGGTCACTTGGGGTTGCTGCCTCGAATGTGCTGAAGCAACAAGTGCTTGGGTTGGCTTCCCTTTGGAGATGACCAGCTTGGCGATAGAAGCAACTGCCTTTGGGTCAGGCGCCCACCTCTTTGACAACTTGGCTCAAAGCAAGCGCCCACTATTTCAAGGGCAGAAGCACCTCTGAAGGGCTGTTTGTCAAAAGAGAGATGGTCGTGGACCCGTTAGATGAGGAGCTTAGACGCTTGCTCTATAGTTTCCTTCTGCAAGAACTACGTGACCGCTGAGATATATTTGGCCCCCCGATGTCCTGCCGAAAGTGGGGCATGAGGAAGCTGTTAACTACCCGAATCAGCCCATGTCTCAGCCTCTTTGCTGAGAGCAAGGTGGCCATGTTGGCGAAGTGAGTCTGCAAGTGGATGGGGTGCTTGAGATGCTGGCGATGCAGGGCAAGTTTCAAGATGTGAAGTTTGCAGATCACGTTCATGCCAAGCAATGTCATGCAGGGGTATGCAGGGCGATGCTAGAGATGCTGTCATGCAAGATGTGAACTATGCTGACGCCATTCCTTGGAGCACTGAGGCATCGCTGCAAAAACCGCCAGGTGATGCCAGAAGTTTCCCTTGCCATGCATCTACCCCCGTTGGAAAGGAGAAAGCCTGAGCCCCTCCCCTGCCGCTTTTCAACCTTTCCTGTTCAGCCGTCCCTTTCATCCATAGCGTGCGTGTGTCTTAGTGGGGAACATGGGAATCATTGATCCTTTGCCAACCGCGATTGGGTTCTCACATGAAATGCTCGGAAGGTTCCTTCTCATAGTCCCCGCCGAGCAAGAATCAGGTCGTACTGGTCGATTCTTTTTGTTTGATCTTCCACTGAACTCAGTGTTTGAGCCACAAGGAATCACAATGTCCTCTGACTTGTCCATTTGGGTCACAGCTTCTTGTTCTTGAACCCATAGGACGACCACACCAAACCGCCAAGCCGCGTAGGCGGATGCTGGGCAACAGCTGCGAGCCCTTAGCGGTCTTCCGGCCGCAGGGCATGCCATTGGCGCGGGTTCCAAGGGATCGATCCATTTCGAGCCTCGAGCCGATTTGTTGGGGGGCGGAGCAGCGAACGACCGATTTGTAGGTCCGTTTTTTTTTTTTGGTGTGTGCTTCCTTATTCGATTCGCGGGGGAGGGGGTTCGGGTTTGTATTTATTTTTCTGACGGCACCCTTGTTTGGGGTGGTTTGAAGGGCACGAAAGGAACGCACACAATTTTGAGGGACCAAATCGTATTTAGAGACAAACCCATGTAGGCCCTTCACTTGAGGATCCCCTATTTCAGTTTGTGGAACTATTCTGACAGCAATTCCGGACTTTTGGTCTCTTGGGCGAACCCCAATTTGGAAGGTAGCCTCCTTCCCATCATTGATAGAAGTGAACAGGTGGGCTTTGGGATGCCTTCATCTTACAAAGGCCCCTCCACTTAGGGGATGCCCACGTTTGGTGGTTTTCCTTTGGCTGTCAATTCGAACGAACCAGCACTGCTTTTTGGACAGTACTTGGGATTTTGGACATGGGAAGAACTGCCAACTCGTTCACTTTCAAAGAAACAATGGGGTACTCTCAAAAAAACAAACCCCACTTTCATGATTCCTGGACAGACCCTTTTGAGTTTTCTTCTCGACCCTGGCAACAGTAGCTGGAAAGAAGGGAGTGCCTCTTGTCAGTTTCCCCTGACAGCCCCCAAGAGGGACTTCTAGTTATAGGTTTAAACCTGCAACAGCATTTTGTGTGACTGGCAACTAGTAAATAGTGGGTGTTTTTGTACAAGCTATTTTTTTGAAGCAACCTCCAGTGGGTTTGGGATTTTTCTAAGAACCAAACCCACGGGTTTTTTCGCCACACGCTCCGTGGTCGGCAAAGTTGACCGCGCGAGCGGTGCTTCGATGACTTGTTTTGCAGGCGCCGAGTGCCTCCGTCACGGGTGTGGCGCTGTCTCCGGACGGCCGGGGACCCCGGGTGGGTGGTCGGTTCTAGGTATTTGGGGGCGGTCTCTGGTGTTGAATGCCAGTGGTTCTGGTTTTTTGGTGGGCGGTCGGTTTTCAGTGGTTTTGTTACGGTACCAACCTCTTGGTCGGTTTTTGGTCGGTTTTTTGGCAGGTGCCCAAAAGGTCGGTGGCTTGGATCGGATTTTGGATTTGGATTTTGGATCTGGGTCCCTGGTTCTTGAAGGTAAAGGAGAAATTCGCCCCAAGCTGCAAATCACCAATCGAAAAAAAAACCTTAGAGGGAAACTGAAGATAAGGCACTCATCATCCCCTGGCTTCTTTCCCAAATGGCCATGAATTTGAATCAGGGACCCTTGGACATCATGTCCGACCGTTTGGAGAGGGCTTCCAAAAAATATTCGGAGCGAATACGGGCAGTGCAACATCGAGTTTCACGGTTGGGTGCAGTCAGCCAAGAGCCCCTAAGAGGTGGCTGCAAAGCAGACCAGGTCCCATGATGAGGGGGCTTGTGCTTGGGACCGAGTCGTCGACAGAATCGAGCACACAGATGTTTGGGAGATCGCTTGACCAATGTTATGGTTCTGGCGTCCATTTTCGGTGGCATTCTCACGTACCCCAATAACAGAGTATGCCAACATTTGACCCATCTGGACGGCAAAGGTGGGCAAAGAAAGCAAGTGTGTATGGAGTGTGGAATGGAGTTCTAGCCCGTTGCAAAGCAGTTAAACAAAGGACCGCACCAAGACTCAACGCAAGCGGAAAGAAGCCACAACGCCAGCAAGGGAGAGCTTGAGGTTGCGGACCCTGAAGACGAGGTGATTTTGGGGAGCCTATTCTCCCAGCTGGCTGGCTTCAGGGAGCAAATGCGCCACCAGCAAATGAGCCAATTTGGAGTGTGTCAACCGGCCTTGCTTTCTGGGACCAGCCAGCACTTGAGCCAATGTGACCAGGATTGGGGCAATGCCGGATTCAAACCTGCCCTTGGTTTTTTGCTTCCCTGAAAAGCAGGGTTGTGGGATCAAGAGGGTTATTGGGTTATCCCCACTTCTGTCATACAAGGGAATCTCCCCCTTATTTTGGGGGGTTGGGGTTCGGCCCTTTTTGTCACAGATTCGTCCATTTCAACCACCGCCCTGCCTAAACAGGGGGCCCTAGGGTCTACGGGGGGAAAAAAACAACAAACAACAAAAACACCCACATCCCCGGATCAGCTCTCGAGCGCGAGCACGCTCGTCGCGCGCTCTCAGGCCGGCGGCTGTTGGGGTCCTGGCAGCGGCAGGACGTGTTCCAGTTCTCCACGGACATGGGCCAAGCGAGGCGAAGCTCAAATCTGCCGATCTTGCGATGCGGTTGGGGGGGGGGGGTTGGTGGGGGGGTGGGGGTTGGGTGGGGGTTGGGTGGGGAGGGGGTTGAGTGCCGGGGATGGCAGGATGGCGGCCATGGCGCAGCTTGTGGGGGTGGGGCTTGAGCGGGGGATAGGATGGCCATGGATGGCGGAGGTTGGGGGGTTGGAGCACGTTTTCTGAAAAGGGGGGGGTTGGATCCGTACGAATGAGAAACATGGCCAAAGTGTCACGTTTCAAGTTCCTTGGGGAGAGCAGCCCTTTCAGTTGGGACGTTTGTTAGAGCAGTCCCCGCTTGTCATACCCCTTGCAACCGGCTGCCGATGTTGCGGGATGAGACAAAGAACAGTTGAGGGCTGCGGACTGCGAGACATGGGGCGTCGGTAGAAATGGTCGAATAGTTTGCCTCTTATCCAGAGATGGGGCTCTCAGCTAGTCCATGTGTTCGCAAGCTGGTCAGCTAGTTGCTGATTGGCCAGTCAGTCAGTCGGTCGGTCGGTCGGTCGGTCTGTCAATTGGTCAGTCAGTCTGTCGGTCAGCCAGCCAGCCAGCCAGTCGGTCAGTCAGTCAGTCAGTCAGTCAGACACTCAGTGAGTGAGTGAGTGAGTGAGTGAGTGAGTGAGTGAGTGAGTGAGTGAGTGAGTGAGTGAGTGAGTGAGTGAGTGAGTGAGTGAGTGAGTGAGTGAGTGAGTGAGTGAGTGAGTGAGTGAGTGAGTGAGTGAGTGAGTGAGTGAGTGAGTGAGTGAGTGAGTGAGTGAGTGAGTGAGTGAGTGAGTGAGTGAGTGAGTGAGTGAGTGAGTGAGTGAGTGAGTGAGTGAGTGAGTGAGTGAGTGAGTGAGTGAGTGAGTGAGTGAGTGAGTGAGTGAGTGAGTGAGTGAGTGAGTGAGTGAGTGAGTGAGTGAGTGAGTGAGTGAGTGAGTGAGTGAGTGAGTGAGTGAGTGAGTGAGTGAGTGAGTGAGTCAGTGAGTGAGTGAGTGAGTCAGTGAGTCAGTGAGTCAGTGAGTCAGTGAGTCAGTGAGTCAGTGAGTCAGTGAGTCAGTGAGTCCAGTGAGTCAGTGAGTCAGTGAGTCAGTGAGTCAGTGAGTCAGTGAGTCAGTGAGTCAGTGAGTCAGTGAGTCAGTGAGTCAGTGAGTCAGTGAGTCAGTGAGTCAGTGAGTCAGTGAGTCAGTGAGTCAGTGAGTCAGTGAGTCAGCGAGTCAGCCAGCCAGCCAGCCAGTCAGCCAGTCCGTTCATTCGTGCAGTCCTTGGTACAGTCATTGGTCACTGCTAGGGTTCGGTTGGGTGAGCGAAGCCAACATGTGAACCTCAGTGTTGATGCTTGCCCCCGGTACGCAACAAAGAAGACCACGCAAAGAGGAACATGCAAGCGCATCCCACAGAAATTCAGGGTCCCTTTTTCACACCCAGCTTTCCGACCATTTCTCCTGCAGCTTCCCTCAAAGTCAGGTTGCCTTCTTGGTTTCCCTCAACAAAGGGCCTCAAAAAAGGTACCCTCACAAACGTCCCCTCACGAAAAGGGACCCTCCAATCCAAAAGGTAGCCTCAAAGACACCAACCAATCAAAGCTTCCTTTTTGCTTTCCCTTGCCACCCATCCAAACCTGGTGCGATAGGCAGGGAATGAGAAAGGGAACCCTTACAACCATCCAACTGGTGGTTTCTTTTAGGACCCGCAGGTTTATGTTTTACATCAAGCTCAAAGGCTGAGGTAGGAGCCCTACTGCGCACCGTACCCTCCAGCGCCACCTGAGCCACAATCAAAACCCGGGCAGATGGTTAGGTTAGTAAGGGGCAGTCGCCGGAAATGGTTGCGGAGATCCGCCTTTCGAATTCTTTGAGACATGGTAACCTGGGATTTCGACCATTTTTGTACCGATCGGTCTTGATTGTGACTCACCAGCAGCCCGGAGGCCCGCCCTGAGCTCCTTGCTGGGACAAAAGCCGGGCCCGGGGACCCAACCTCCGCGCCACAAGAGGGCGCGTGCAAAGGATTTTTTTCCTTTTTTTTCTCTGGGGGAGAGGGGGGTTGGGTTGGGCGTTTTGGGTTTGGGCCGGATTCAGCTTTTTTGTTTGTTCTTGTTTTTTTTCTTCTTCTTCTTTTTCTCCCGTTTTGTTTGGCCTATGTTATATGTTTTTTGGTTGAAAGTAGGACTATGGGTGCTCAGCAAGGTTGGCAGGGCAACTTGGTGAGACCTGGGGCCGACATCACGTGTCTCTTGTGTGTTTATGGAACTGTGAATGCCCGGCCCGACCAAACCATTGCGCAAATTCCTAAGCAAAGGTGCAGAGGTCGCAAGGAACACGGACACACATACATTGAATGTGAGAGGCTACTCTGAATGACTGTCATGTTTTCCTGAGTACCCCTCCTTGGACTCCCACTAATATCAGACACACACACACACATATACACTCACACACATCCAAACCTACCACACACGCTGTGTTTACCATGTTAAGTATACTTTTACGATGTGTTGCATTGGGCTGATGCATACATAGACACATCACATGTACTGTGTATGTATATATATATACAATATGCACATGTCTGCATACATATGCATATATGTCTTTCTCTCTCTCTCTCACATGTATCTCACATGCTAGCGCCTGGTATCTCATGGCAACACATGATACTGACTTCAGACGATATGATGTGGTTATGACACATGTTTGTTTATGCGCACACACACACACATACACGCACATGCTATGATATGATACATGATCTAGGTCCCCCAGCAGCGCCCTTTTACCTCTTTTTTTGGGGAGGGTTGCCCTACTAAATAAACTACAGACAAACAATGGTACCCATATTCTAACCTCTCTACGGGAGGACCTTGATGATGCATGGGAAATGAACATGATGCATATGCATAGGCACACCTTGTGTTTAGTCGTGCCAAGTCCCCAGGCCGGAGGCATGGCTGGACGGCAGAGGTGAACGAGGACGTCGCTTCTCCGGGTTCGAAATGCGAAGCATCGTAGGGGCCTAGGGGTCCGGGGCAAAACCGGGGTCTGAGGGAATGCCCCCTTTGGGCATGCGAAAGAAGACCAAAAAAAAAACGGTGCTGAAGCCTTTGCAGTCGATTGTTGCTTAAGGGAAACACCAGCGGAAGCTACCAGCCACTTGTAACTCCCTTTTAGGCCTCAAGGTTGGGAAGGGTGTATGGCAACGATATTGGCCCCGAATACTGAGCCCGGTGGATAAGCTAGGGCGTGTTTGCCCCAAAATTGGCGAGGTGTTTCTACAGAATTGGACATCCGAATTGGGCATTCCCTGCTGTCAACGAGGGGCTTGTCAATCCCGGGCTCAGCTCGGGCAACCTGAAGCTTGATGAATCCAGCTGTTTGTGGTCAATCTGGGAGGGATATGGATTCGCAAAATCTTCCAGTCTCAAAAACGAACAGGGATGAGCCTAACATTTTTCTTCTGGCACATACCGGGTAGGCCGCCTACCTTTTGTTCTTCTTATTTTTTGTTTTTCTTATTTCTTTTTTCTTCTTTTTTCTTTCCGCTTGCAGGACATGCTGAGCGCCACGCCCGAGTCGAAGTTCGTAGGCCACAGCAACATCCGCACCATCAAGGAGGCGCTGAGATCACATCTGGCCAATTTTTATTTTGCAAGCTCGCGGATTCGGGGGGAGAACGAGCTCACCATGATAAAAGGTCCTTTGCTTGGGGATCCCTCAAGTCAAGTTTTGGAAGTCTAGTAAAAGTTGCAAACATTGGGCAAACTTGGCTTAAACCACCGGAGGCCCGGTTGGATGTTGACAGGCCTATTCTTCCAAAGCAACACGTCATGAAGATCATCGAACTTGACCTACTAGTGTCACCATTCCCTTGAGTTTCAGTACTTCCGGACCATGGGCAACCATCAAGAACTCTTGAGTTTTACTAGTTTTATGCTCTAGAATGGGTGTTCCAACCCGCACCCCCTAAATCTGAAGGGGGATTCAACCGGAACCATCCTGATTGAAACCCCCGGAGCTAGAACCAACCGCGCGCATCTTTTCTGCCCAGCCACCTGCAGGTGGCTTACCTGGGGCCAGAGGCCTCGCTGGTGGCCAGTGGTGGGGGGGCCCAAGAAACCGCCTGAAGGTCATCTTCCAAATGGCGCTGACATTTCTTCAGAACAGGTCCGTGGAAATCCAAGGTCCCTGGTGGTCGTCCAGGTGGTCATTTGCCTCGACCCATTCACCCCAAACATCTATTCAGCCCCCTCGGGTTCAAAAGAGGCTCGGACTGCGGGCACCTCTTCGTGTGGGACGCGCGCACGGAGCGACTGGTGCTGGTGCGGCGAGGCGAGGCGTTCGTGCATTGGGTTCGCGACTTGAGGGTTTAATGCTTCCCGAGCTGACGCCTTCAGCAGGTGATACCCAGTGCCCAAGAGCTGGCCAGGTTCAGGGGCGGGGCTCTCATGCTTTTTCAATATGTCTGCCGCCGCTGATACTTGTCACGGTTTCCTATCTTCCTGATGCCTGGCGATCCCATCGGCCCGTGAACAGCCAGCGCTGCGCGTTTTGCCATGGTCCAACCCCAAAGTTTGCCCATCAGGGATTTCGCTTCGAATGGCAAGGCCCTTTTCCCCCTGTTTGGCAGGGAGATGTTCCTTTGTTTAGCAGGGATTTCCTTTTGGTTCCTGGGATTTCCCTTTGTTTAGTAGGGATTTCCCTTGAGGGCCGTTTTTTTGGGTAGGGATTTCCCTGGTGGTTCCTGGGATTTCCCGTTTGGCGTGAGCCATCGGGCTCAGACAGCTTCTGAGCCATGGCGACGCTGGGCCTCAGTCCATTCGACGAGGCGCCGGTTGGGGCGTTGTTTTTTCTTCTTTTTTTCCCTTTCCGTTTCTGGGTTGGGGCCCCTGAATTCTGGCACCGAAGATTTGCCGAGGGCCGTGTTTTGTGTGTTTGGTCTTTTTTGGTTCGGTTTTCGGAGAACCGGGTTACCCCGAACTCTGGCGCCGGGACTTTTCGCGGCGCAAGGAAAGGAAGCCAAAAGAAAGGACCTTAGTCACAAAAAGCGGGGGGTCAAGCAGCAAGACAGCAGCATCAGCAGCAAAACTTTTTCCAGGTCTCACGTTAATAAAACGGTTGAGACAGGTATACGTCGGTTGGCCCAAGCTGGGGCCTGCGGGCCGGAGTGAGCCTCGCTTACCGCAAGCCCGTGCTTGACTGGCTCAGTTGAGCCACATTCGAGACCTGGTAGGCCCAAGCGAAATTTGTCAAGTGGACCCTGTGGCCCCAAGCTGAAAAGAAGCCAAGAAGCAGATCGTCGAGTTTCCGCTCCGCGCAAGCCATCTGGCGTGGAAGCAACGGGGACTTCACCAAAGTTCGTGGTCTGCGGTGTCATGACGCTTCCGGTTTCGGGGATCCCCTTCTTGTTTCAGGTGGGTGGATTTGTTTTTCACCCCGCGATTTGTTCCAGGGATACGGCTGAGAAACAAACGGAACGTACATCCCCCCCTCCCTCCAAAGCAGCAAAAACAAGGTCGCCGGCTTTTTGTTGCCGCCCTTGCGAATATGCCATTGACATGTTCTGCAGTTGAACTAGGGTTTGGGCGGCTGGCAAAAAACAACAAACCAGCACCCCTTGCCCCAGGCTGATTCCCTCAAGCCCTGGCGAGTCCCGGATTCCCGGAAAGCCAGGCGCCGCAAGGCCACGAGGGATATGTTCCTCAGGACTCCGGGCGCTGGCCGGCCTTTTGGCAGGACCGCGGTCGCCACTTCGGCTCGCACGTTTGTCGCCGTTTCCAACTGGGGACCTTGCTGGTTTGGATGAAGCTGAAAGAAGGTCTTGGTTTTAGAGGGAATCTATCACTGCTGAAACTGTACAGCACTGAGTTCCTAGATGGGCCGCTCATTTTGGGCGAACCATGATCGCCAGTTGCGATCGTTTTTGTTTTTACCCAACAACCAGCAGCAGCGACCGAAAAAAGCGTCAAATTGGCTATCCAGGAAGGTTTTTTTTTTCTTTCTTTTTTCCGTTTTTTTTTTTTTTTTTTTTTTTTCGGGGTAAGGCATCGATCAACGTAGGCAACAGTGGTCTTGGACACGTGGCGCTGAGGAGTGCAGGTTGAGCCAAGCGTCCATGTCTTGCAACAGCTGCGGCCTCCCAGGAGCCGTGGCGGGCCGAAATGGGAGCTGACTGGCAAGCATGGCAAGCACAAGAAGAGTGGCAGAGCAGGCCGGAAGTCGGTTTTGTCGTGCTCCGGCAGGTGCTTGCTGCTTTGCGGATCCATTCTATGCGGAATCACATGCGTTGCCTGAACCATCTGCAAAATGGGGCTTCACTCTGGGTGCACCACTTGCCTTCGCGATGGCTTGATGTGATCATATCCAGGGTGAAAACTAGGGGGACCTCGCGACAAACCCCAGGCCCTGGTAGAAAGATACATCTTTGGAAGTTGGGACTCGGCACGGGTCGGTCTGTCTAAAAACGGGGACCCCGCAACGGGTTGCGAGCACTTCAGGGATGGATCTGCACCCCTCGCTTCTGTGGAAATGGGAAGCTATCCCTCCAACCCACCGATCCAAGGCGGAGGGAAGCTGAACATCTAATTGCTGGATGCCCGTTGAGTCACGCAAAATGTTCGGTGCAACAACAACCCGTGGGGATCTATGCAGGCAAAGAAATGCAGTGGCAGAGCCGAAATAGCATCCAGAGGGCCGGAGCTCAAGCAGGGCCGGGGTCGGACCGGGTCGGACAGCTTGGATCGTTTCCCTCCAACCCACCAATCCAAACCACCAAAATTGGGAGGGAAGCGGATCATCCCACTGCGGGGTGCCCGAGCCGCGCGTTTTGGTTTTCCAATTCTTTCCTGCGTCGCTTCGCAGGCGCAAGCGCCGCTTCTGCACCTCCTTCCCGGAGGTGGGCCAGTGCCGGCGCGGAGCGGCCTGCGCTTTCGCGCACACCCGGGAAGAGCGCCTCGGTGGCCAAAAGGTGGGCTGCCATTTATGCGGAAATGGTGGGTCAAAAATAGGGTAAGTCCCAAATGGGTTGCCCTGGTAAATGGAAAACGACGAGAAGCGCCTGCATTTGACATCCTTCTGGTGAAGAATTTCGACCCACACCCAAATGAAGATTTATCATTGTCCCCTGAATGGAATCGATTTCGCGACTGGACATATTTTTCTGGGAAAAATCTTTTTCCGGGGTGCAAAAGCAATTGGAGGTGGGCTATGGGACCCTGGGATGAGGTGTTGCCCAGAAGCTTTTCATCGTTTTCGCAGGAATTATTGTATCCATTTGCTTAAGAATATTTGGTGTATTTCCCTTGTTGGTTGTAAAAGGAATCTATCACTACTGGACTTTTTTCTTCTTTTTTTTTTACAAGGGTCTTAACCAAATGGAAGCTTGTCTCCTCCTTTTCGGGCCACGGAAGCCAATGGCTCGGATCCCGGATCGAGGGGAGGCCGCTCCAAGGATCACGGCGCCCTTGCTGGAGGAGGCCGAGGAGCAACAGCTTCAGCCGGCCTTGACGGATGACTTCTTCATGTTCAAATACAAGCGCCGAGGCGTTGAATTGGGTGTATGGCTTTTGAGTTGGTAGCCATATATATATATATAGTTTTTTTCCCCCTTTTTTTTCTGGTGCTTAAGGGAAACCACAAAGACACCACTATGGTGGGGTGACTTTCGCGTGGCGATTTGTCCGTTTTTTGAGTTGGTACATTTTGTTTGGTTTTTTTTGGGAAGCCAAAGGGACGACCGCCCATTTGGGGGTCCAAAACCCTGGAAGAACATGCAAAAGGGGGGTGGTCCCAATGCGGATCTGAGAGCTTCAACCTTTGAATTGAACGCTGATGGCAAATGGGGGCTGAGAGGGTTGGGGGGTTGGGAAGGTTCGAGGTGGATAATCTGAGGGCGAATTGGAATTGGGGGGGGGAGGCGAAACGGCCGTTGTCTGCGGGCTGGAAGTGGGACCGGGAAATGGATTCAACTGGCCTCCGATCCTTTTGCTCGCAATCAAGGGAGTTCACGTGTGATTCTTTTTGCCGGCTGCTCGCTGCTTCCATTCCCATCGTCAAGTGGCAAGACATTTTGGTTGGAGACATGGGCATGATGATCCGCTCGGTTGTGAGGCGTTCGCGCAGGAGACATGTAAGCCTCTTTGCACCGGCTCTCGCCGCCCTCTCAAGCTGGTTTCCTTGTTGGAGTTGACAAAACCCACGGTTTTATACCAAGATGAGCTGAATGTGGGAAGCTGTGTTGCCAGGACCGCGAATATTCTTTCAATCATTGAACTGACCGCAATAGCAGCAATATATTTCCTGCATGATGCATGTCCGGGAATTCGACCGCGACATCCATTCTTTGGCTCACCATACTCGCCTTCCTTTCTTTTTGTCGTGTTTGGACGTCTAAAAGGCGCATGAATAATTCTTTCAGCTGTTTTCCTTCCGAGGATGCAGATGTGTTATATCAGTTATACCTGGGTATGGGTCAACATTGAAACCACCAGGAATTGGACCGCAGCTTTTCGTCCATTTCTCCGTTTACCAGGGCAACTTCCATTCTGGGTACAATTCTCCATGTACCAGGGCAACCCATTTTTAAGTTACCCGATTTTTGACGTTCACACCCATCGGTTTTGTTTGGCTGGTTTCACCTGTTCTTACCCACCCCTGTTGGCCCTTTTTCCGCATTGATTGAATGCTCTTTTTAGCATTCAGACGGTGAATCCACAGATCCGCCGCAGCCCAGCCCGTTTTTTCTCCATGGTACCTAGGGCACAAAGGCTGGCGCTCCCCGATTGACCCCCACGGCCCGTCGTGTTGTTTTCGGATTCTTCGGCTGAGGATCCACTGGTGCCCCATCGGAGTGCAGCACGAGTGGCACAACTGCGTCTACGCGCACAACTACCAAGATGCGCGTCGCCCGGTGGACATCGGCTACGGCGCGAGGCCATCGATCGCGCTCGCCCGGAAAAAAAACCGCGCGTGAAATGGCTGTTTGTGGCGCGGCGCGTGTTTTTTTGCGGGGTACCCCTTTTCGAGGCAAGCCAGCCAAAATGGGGGGGGGCCCTGCCAAAAAAGGATGTGTCTTGCTACTGGTGGTTTGAAAGGAGCCGTTGCGGAGCTGGGGTAGCCAAAAGTTGGCTTTAAAGAGGAACGAAGCAGCTACCAGTAGTTCTGTGAAAACATGGTAAGGGAACCGAAGCTATTTTGGGACCTCCAAATCCCAACAAAAAGCACTTGTTGGGTCAGAGGGCAAAGGTGAGTTTTTCAGATCCGACCTTTTCCGGGCTTTCCCCAAAAGGGACCACTACGGCCGGAGAAACCAGCAAAAGGGAACATCTGCTGATCAATTTGCCAAATACCAAAAACCAGGTTTGTGCCGCTTTCTTGTGGAGTTGTCTGTATATAGTTAATCAGGGTTCCTTGAAGGATACATCCAAAAAAGCATTGCTTGGCAAAAATGGGGTCCTAATCACCTGGCGTGGTGATTGTTGTTAGCTGGCCTCAGCTTATCCTTTAAAGGCTTCGTTTGGCGCAGATGGGGGTTTCAGAAACCCAGAATAGACAATTTCTCATTTGGTTTCCCTCTAACCCAACCCAAAAGGGTACCAACTCCAAAAATAGCCCCCATTTGCTTGAAAGCCCTTTCAGGGGTACCCTCTGACAGTTTCTGAGTGGTCCTGGTGTCCTTTAACTGGGCTATTAGAAGATTGGTTCGGACGCTAGGAGTCTTGGTGGATTCCCTACAGGGATGGAGAATCGGAGCCAACCCGAACATTTTGAGAAGCCCATTATCCTTAGGCCCTGTTTTTTGCACCCCCCATGGGGTATCTCTGACAGTTTCTGACTGGTCCTGGTATCCTCAAAAAGACAAAAAACAAAAACGTTGACAGCACAAAACAGAACATATCCGCTGGTGTTTTTTTCCGGCAGGTTGTGCCCCTACTGGTCCAAGAAGGACACGGGCGCCGAATACTCCCAGCGCTGCCCTTTGGGCTTGCGCTGCCCATACTCCCACGGAGCCAAGGACGGATCCGGACGGATCCGGACGGATGTCAACCATCCGCAGCTCGTGCGCGGGTGGCTCGCTCGTTTTTTTTCTCTTTGCGGGGGGAGTTGGTCTCTGCCCCCCCGCCCGGACCATTTGGGGCATTTGGAAAGCAACAGGAACCCCCGGAGATTTTGCGGGCATCTGGTTGCTCGCTTCCCGAGTTCCGGACCGTTTTAGCGGCGAGCGAGCCGCTCGCCGGCTTTTTCCGGCCAATGCGCTTCGGAAGTTGGGCCAATAGGTTCAGAGACCCAGGGTCTGGTGAAAGGAGGGTGGGATTGAATCGAGATATGGGCGTGCTTTGTTTTAGTGGACCCCACGAACTGATTCTCCCTTTGGTTTCCCTGTAAAACCAAGAAAACATGAAGAGTACCCTCCAAAAAAACCATACCCCTATATTGGTTGAAGCGTGTTGCAGCGGGGGTTGCACACATTGCCAGGGATTCATTCCCCATCCCAAAGCCAGCCAAAGAAATCGCCGCCCATGGAGGGGCTCTCGCTCATTTTTTGGGGATTCTGCTGCACTGGGCAGGGCTCCTCAAAAGATACATTTTGCCCAATTGAAACGTGGCTTTTTCCAGCAAAATACAGGGACACCACCCTTTCCAAGGCAAAATCTTCAGGTGTACAATGCATCCGGATCCCTGCTGGGCTCACGGTTTTGGGCGGTTTCCAAAGGATCAAAGTCACGCGTTCGGTTAGCCCAAGCCCCGGAAACTGAGAGCTTCGCTCCGAAGGGCCCAGAGGAGTTCGGATTTTGGGACTCTCTGAGGATTTTTGACATTTGGAAAGCTGGAATGTCCAGGTACCACCGGGACCGCACTAAGCCGTCCCGTGGAAACCTCAAAACCGTGCGACTGAAAGCTGGAATGTTCGTCAAAAACTGCCTGTTTTGGAAGGTGTTCATGCTCTGGGAAACCCACGCTTGAGGCATCGTGTGTTTTTCTTCGGCCTTTCGGGAACCAGAAAGAACCCTGAAACTGACTCCCGTCGGCTGATGTGCTGGCGCGTCCAATCTTCTGCCCTAACGACCATGGAGGGTCCTATGTCTCAAGCTCATGGTTTATGAGGGACGATCAATTAGAACACATTTGGGTGCAGCTCTTTTTTCGGACTCGGTACCCCCCTGTTGGTTGGTTGGTTGGTGGGTGGGTGGGTGGGTGGGTGGGTTGGTGTTAAAGGGACACCCTACGGAAAACGACCATTATTATTATTACTATTATTATTATTATTATTATGATTATTAGTATTAATTATTTTTTTTGGGGGGGGGTCCCTAACAACAACACACACACACACACACACTCATTTGCGCAAGCCAAAACACAGAAGACATATCATGAAGACCTAATGAGAGCCCAGGATCAATAAACCCCTAGTTGGTTGAAGGGGGTGGGGTGTCAACTTTTGAGGGAATCACCCCGCCTACTGTGGATGAACAAATCCTGCACCACTTTGATACCATGGGAAACCATTCTTTGCTGGTATTTACAGGGGAATGATCAGAAACCAGTGTCTCCTAGGTGCAGGATAGTCCGACTCTTTACATTTCGACTTTGGCAAACAAAGCACCACCAAAAAAAGGCGCTTGCTGGGCTGTGGTCAGAGTGGTTTAGTGGAAACTACCACTAAACCAACTAAGAACCTATGTTTCCGGCTTCGACATTACAAGGTACTGTATGTTGTTTTAGAGCTGCCAGGAGCAACTCTACCACCCACAGTATTTCAAGACCGTGATCTGCCGAGACGTTCGTGGCAAGGCCGGTTTGTTTGTTTGTTTGTTTGTTTGTTTGTTTGTTTGTTTGTTTACGTGATTGCTTGCTTGCTTGCTTGCTTGCTTGGTTTGTTTGTTTGTTTGTTTGTTTGTTGGTTTGTTCGTTTGTTTGTGTGTTTATTTGTTTTCGTTTCGTTTCGTTTCGTTTCGGTTCGTTTCGTTTCGTTTCGTTTCGTTTCTTTCTTTGATTCTTTCTTTCTTTCCGTGCTTCTTTGCTTCTTCGTTGTTTTTTGCTCGTTTGCTTGTTTGCTTGCTTGCTTGCTTGCTTGCTTGCTTGCTTGCTTGCTTGGTTTGTTTGTTTGTTTGTTTGTTTGTTTGTTTGTTTGCGTGTGTGTGCATTTGCTTGCTTGCATGCTTGCTTGCAAGTTTGCTTGCTTGATTGCTTGCTTTGCTTTGCTTTGCTTTGCTTTGCTTTGCTTTGCTTTGCTTTGCTTGGCTTGGCTTGGCTTGGCTTGGCTTGGCTTGGCTTGGCTTGGCTTGGCTTGGCTTGGCTTGGCTTGGCTTGGCTTGGCTTGCTTGCTTGCTTGCTTGCTTGCTTGCTTGCTTGCTTGCTTGCTTGCTTGTTTTGTGTGTCAGCCTCTCCGTTCTTCCTCAATCATACAGGGCTATACTCCCCCCACACTCCCCCCCCAAAACGGCAAAGGAAATGAGTTTCGGACAAGAATTCATGGCCAAGCAAAAATAAGCAATGAACAAGGGTTTTGTCCTGCTTCGGACAAGTTTCCATGGCACCCGGACTCCCAAGCAAAATAAGCAATGAATAAGCATTTGTTACTGGGGCTAGCGTTCCCGCGTGGCACGAAGTACCAGGATGAAAAGAAAGGCCGACTAAGAAAGGCCGACTAAGGGACCCATGCCCATAACTTTCATGGCCATTTTCATATCGGCGTCCTCGTGCCTCCAGAGTTTCCAGGATGTCCTCTGAGTGGACAGCCTCTTCTCCCTTGGATGGGCACTGCAACAATAACCCCCAGAGTTTCAGGTGCATGGCACGGAAGCCGGCCTCCCCGTTCCCATGCCCACTTGGGATATAATGCACTACACTTAGCCTCTTGGGACTTGTAAGAGTTATATACCCTAGGCTGCCAGCAAGTGTCGTCACCCACAAAACGGCGCTTTCGGGCCATCTAGTCTCACCCCGCGTGTAGTAACTTGGGTAATCGAACACCTTGCCCCCGAACCACCCACCCACCCACCCACACCCCACCCCCAACCCTCCCCAACCCACCCCACACCCAACCCACCCCAAGTGAATCGTCGAGGTGTGCCCGCGTCAGAAGCTTTGCGCCTTCCACCACCACCGCAACGAGAAGCGTCCCACGCCGCAGGACCGGGACTTGGGACTTGCGTGGGACCACTTTGCGTGGACCCAGGGGCTTCTGTGGAGAGAGCGACCCAAATGGATGGTGTTTTCTTTGATTCTATGGGTTTTTTGGGGGAAGCTGCCCCGTGGCCATTTCTTTAATCCCGGCTGCCCCGTGGTCCTTTGAATGACTCTTTTGTGTCCCGGTGGTTTTCAGTTCCCGAGCGTTTTGGGGTCTTACTTTGGTTTCAAACAAGAATCAAGGTTCCTTTTGGGCCCGGTTTCTGTTTCAATCACCCTGTAGCTATTTCATTTATCAGCTCGGGTCAAAATGGGGGCCCGAAACATGGCGCAACGTGTTCCTGTTGGTTTCCCTTCAAGACCACCAAAGACCTAAGGCTACCACTCGGAAAAAGCAGAGCCACCTAAAAGCAAGATGGTGGTTTTCCTTTTGTTTTCCCTCAAGAAATCAGAAAAAAAGAGCAACCTTTTGGATCCAGCTGAAAATCCATGGGACTCGCAGGACGACGTGGACTACTCCATGCCTTTGCCCGCCGAGAAGCTGCCGGAGAAGTGGGTGGCGGAGCCTCGGACGGGTAGAAAGCAAGGCCTTCGAACGAAAGCACATGTTTATCTGTCTACACAATATATATATATATATATAATATGTAACTAATATGTATATATATATATATACAGAAGGGGTGCTCCTATGTATATGTATATATATATATACATATCTATGTGTGCTTTTCGTGATTTCTCTCTCTATATATGTATAAAGAGAGAGAGAGAGAGAGAGAGAGAGAGAAAGAAAGACGGATGAAAGTCACGTGGTTGCGATCAGCAAAGCCTGTTCGGCAAAGCCAAGCTACAGCAATCTGAAAGCTGATATTTGCGAGGCCAACAGTACTGGAATTTGAGTCCGCTTCGCACGGATTGGGGAAACCCTGTTTCAGGACTAGAATTTCCTGAAAGAGAAAGCTTTGGGAGCCCCAGAAAGGTTCTTAACGCTTTCAGGACTTCACCATTTCTGGGGGCGAAAGTCAGGAAATGAAATTGGTTGTTTTCCTTTCGCCTACCACTGAATGACGGGTGACTTGAATGCGGGTGACTTGGATGGCGAAATGAGGGGCCAGACGTAAGGCCGTGATAAAAGCGGCTTGCGACGGGAAGTGTCATGACCATCCAATGGCTAAGTAGGGCCCGCTGAAGCATCATCTCTCAGCAAGCACGGTCAGGAGTAAGGCGACTTTCCCATGCGAAATCAAGCAGAGGCTTTTTGTGATGTCTTCTGGTAAAAACCGCTTCCCTGCTGGATTCCGCAGAGTAGCGCGTGCAAAAACGCTTGAGACGCTTATTACTGCGAATCTACTGCTGGGGGAACATGGGGCCCAATTCCTCTTGGTGAAGAAGTCATTTTGTCCTGGGAATGTTTTTCAACGACCCGTCATGTGACCGAAAAAACGGGAACCTCTCCCATTTAATTACCTGCTTTAGGCACGGTCTGCCTTTGGTTTCCCGGCCAACGGGATGTTTTAACCTTGCTAGGGATGTTCAAGCTGGAACCCCTTTGTTAGTTCGGGTTTTCGGTGTGTTTTCGGGGGTCAGGGGGAGAGGTGAACTTGACCAAACCACTAGCGTTTTTTGCCCTTGAAAACTGCAGTCTTAAAGAACGCGAAACATCGAAACCTGATACCGGGCTCGCTCAGTGGCACGGAACACTCAACATCTCTCAGCCAATAGCACTCAGTAGCACTCAGTGGGGCTGAGCCTGAACATCTCAGCAAGGTTCTTGTGCTCACCAATTGGTGGCTTCAACCAACAATGTTGCTCAAATGGCTTATGGGCTAGCTAGCCCTGACAAAGTGTTACAAAGCATTGCTGAGCAACACTGAGCCTCAAATGGCCCTGGCGCATGTTTGATGCTTTCTCCCCTGATTTGACTTTTCTTCCCTGACCCCTCCCCTGTCAAAATTTGGGGGTGCAGTTGGAAGGGGGAGAGGACTCGGCTAAAGTAGTTTTAGGTGACGACATATCCCAGCCAGGTGCTTCCCAAGTCTGTGACGTTGAATGCGAGTCTTGGATTCCTGGCCTCAGGATTTCCTGTCCCCACCCTTCATGCCTGAGACCACAAAGCAGAAGGAGGAGGGAAAGGAGCGCGGGGATGCGGGCATGATGCCCATCTACTACATGCCACTTCAGCCGGAGACGGCACAGTCGGAATTCAATGCACTGGGCCTTCGTCCTACTGAGGACTGAGGCCCAAGGCCGATTGTCCCAACAGGTTGGATGCTCAAGGCGGTTCTCCCTTGTGATCATCTACTGTGTAGGTATACTTGACGAGATCCCTCACCATGGCATTGCCAGAATCCTAACGCTGCGAGAAAGGCTGGCGGCGACGTGACTGCAGATTGGCAGTTTGCGAAGACACGGACAAGTAGAGTTGCAGATACCATGAAGTCTCCCTAGTTGGACGCTTTTCCGCAGCGCCACCAAACAGGTGGCTAGCGCATCAAGTGGTTTGTGTTTCAAATTTGACTTTGCTCAGACGCTGGGAGCTCCAATCAAGCGTTTGCCAACGTACGGCTCAAGACTTTTCCGGCTTACGTCGGCCTTTGTTGCCTTGAGATATTCCGTATCGCGGACAAGCAGCTGAAAGCCATGGGTGGTGGACCATCCTCGGAAGCGAAGGGAAACACTGTGACGCTGGTGTTTCTCGGTTGAACGCCCACCATTTGACCTTTTGGCTTCCCATTTTGATCATGGTTTTACCCTCCCACCGACTAACATAGGTTTGTGCATAGACCGTGCAAAGACTGCTTTCCTCTTGGAAAGGGGCCAAATGTGCACACCCCCATGTAAGTTGGTGGGAGGGTCGGTGATTTTGGTGCAGGGGTCACCTAAAGGAAAACGCAGCACATGTTTATTTCCAGGGCCTCTGGGCCAGGTTCACCACAGGTCTGTGCATCAGTGGCTTGGGACCGGGGATGAAAGGACTCCAGGAAGTCCCGGGTGGTTGAAGAGCGACTTCCCGAAGATCCGAGAGCTGGCGGCGCCCTACTCCAGCTGCACTTACTGCCAGTACGGGCCAAGTCTTTGGGAAGACGAGACTCAGAATGAGCCACTGAAAGCGCTGAGGGCCCAGTTCCGGCAGTACACCTTCACCTTCAGGCATGGTTTCCACTGCTCAACCTGCCTTACAGGTTTGTTGGTCCAGCGACCAGTCTGGTTGAATTTCTCTCTCTCTCTCTCTCTCTCTCTGTGTTTCTTCTTGTCGCGGCTCTCCTTTTTGGGTTGGCCTTTTCATGGGGACCGAAATTTGACCGCCATTTGAAATGCCCCCTTGCAACTGCCGTTTTGGGGAAGGACCGCCAGCATTTGGGGCCCATGCAACTAACTCCAGGTCTGAATGGTGCGGCTTCGGCCGGAGCGCCAACTGGCAGCACGTCTTGAAGATCACAAACAACGACTCCGCGGCGGGGGAAATAATCGGCGCCCCAGGGCAGCAGAACATGTGAGCGACCCCGCGGCCTTTCGAACGGGGTACTCCGCGTGGGCGCGACTCTGGGGAGAATAGGGAAGAGCCCGGTTTCGTCTGCATGTATACATATATATATATATATAATGTGTATATAAGTACACATATGTATAAGTTTATGTGGAATATGTCGTTACATGCACTACCATTGCTGGGGTACATCTATGCACTCACCACCAGATCGGCGTGGAGCGCAACCTCCCAAGTGTTCCTGCCCACCAACTTACTGTATAGTTCCGCGGATTTCCGAGAAATCCGCCTGCCCGGACTGGAGAAAAGGGCCCTGGAGCACCTGGTTGAGAGGGCGGGAAGGTCAAATTTGCTGCCAGAAGAAGGGTCAATCATCCAGCGCTTTTTCCCACGTACCATTCTGGGTTGTGTCATTCGCTACCAGACACAAGGTCAATCGTCCATCGAGCTTTTTACTATGTACCCTTCTGGTTGAGAGGGCGGGATTCGAGTTGTTTTTTTCCCCCAAGCACATTTCTCCTTGGGGAAAAAATAGTATGTTTCGTGAGGCAGGCGGAATGGCGCTGAGCGAGATTCTTCTGAGATGAGCATTTGTGTATCCAGAGGGGTCTCCAAGACACCATTGTTTGAGAGAGGACAATTATGGAGCAGGATGAATTCCGATTCGAGATGATGGATCATCATGGAAGATGAATCCTGGATTATAAGCCACCATTAAAACACTGGGCCTTGACAAAAACCACTTTTATTTTGCAACTCTTGTAACGGGGTTGGAAGTCCAGGGTGCACAAAGGGATGGAAACAAATTAAAGGGGCCAAATGTGCAGTGGGAGCGTAGACAGCGTTTCCGCCTCGCCAGGGGACCTCTATGTCGCAGCCCCGGAGTCCCTGGCGCGGGAGAAAAGAACCGGCCGTCAGAGGGCAGACTTCAGACCCGTTGAAAAGGAGGCCCGCAAAGGGGCTGCTGTTTCCATGGGTGTTTTGGAACATGGATGTTGTTTTTTCTTCTTTCTGCCGTTTTTTTTTTTTTTTTGCGAGCTCAGCGATGCGGGGGTGAAACGATCTCACCATGATAAAGATCCTTTACTTGGGGATCCAAGTCTTACATCAAATTTTGGACATATTGCAAGCTTTCTAGATTTGTCCAGTTCCTTGAGGGAATCGCTCCTTCAAGTAAGAAGACACTTTCTGTTTCTTGGGGGCCTTCGGTCGAGTTTCGAGGCATGCTGAAGCTCAGAGATCTTTTTTACATCCGCTCGCCGAATGCCGAATGCATCCATCCAAAGAAAAAGGGTCTGGTTTTCGGGGTGTTAAGTCTGGAGCTCGCGACGCTCGTCCCTGACGCGTTCCCTTTGCCAGCACTTTTTCTAGGGCTATCTTCCATTTTCATTCTTTCCAGGGATCCTTCTTTCTCAAAAAAACACCGGTTAAACCCCTGGGGAAACAGCTGGTTTGTGAGAAGAACGATGCATGGTTGTTGTTGGGAAACGTTTTGCAGTTTTGCTTATTGTGGTTCAGGGGGAAATTCCCACTGAACTGCAACAATTTGAATTTTTGCTCCCCTTCCAACGTCCACCAGGGATGGTTGAAAAGAATGGAACAGGAATCCCCCCCCCCCCTTCCCCCTCACCCTCTCCCCCCCCCTCCCCCCCCTAGACGTTTAATCCCGTCCGGAGCTCGGGTCTCTCCTTGAAAAAAACCGAGGTGGTGAACGCCATTGCCTCTCACCCCTTCGATCTCTGTGCCTCGGACAGACGGATTCCGTTTTTCTTCTTCTTTTTTCCCCCTCATTTTCTTTTGTTTAAAGAGAATAAATGATACATGTTTTTCTGACAACCACAAAGATCATGGTAAAAAGTAGGACAGTGTTCTTTTTCGGTGGGGGGTGGCGTCCCCCCTTTTTCCCATTTGACCAGAAAGGACGGTGGCGACAGGCGAACATCCTTTTTTGCGCGGGGAATCCCCTCCAAGTGTTTTTTTTGGTGCTGGGAGAAGTGCCCGTGGGTTTCTCCTTGCGAGTTTAGGATGGCTATGAGTGGGACACCGCAAGGAAGCCACCAATAGTCACTCGTGGCTTTTGAGTAAGTCTATGTCTAAGGGTGGAAGCACATACCCCTTGTTCATACCTGGGCTTCCGTGGTTTCCTACCCACTTTTCAAAAGGGGGATACCCCTTTTGGGGAGAGGGGTATATCAGCAGGCCTTTTGGGTTCATTTGTCCAAGGGGTATGTAAAAGGGGTATGTACCAGCACCCCTGGAACATGTCCATCTATGTTAATGGATTGAACACCCTCAAACATGGTTGTTGGACGTAGATGCCCATGCAAACGGTGTCCACCAAAGGGTCTCCACTCAAGGCCATACTTGTTTCCTTTCTATCACTCTCTTTCTCTCTCTCTCTCTCTCTGTCTGTCTTTCTATCTCTCGTTCTCTCTCTCTCTCTCTCTCTCTCTCTCTCTCTCTCTCTCTCTCTCTCTCTCTCTCTTGTCCTTAGCTTTCTTTGTTTAGCTTCTTTTTCCCACGATTTCCTGCGCTTTTGTTGTTTGTCGTTTCTGTCTTCAGTTCCTTTTTGGTTTTGAAAGGTTATCGGCACAATATGGTTTGTTTTGCGGGGCCAGGCATTCCTCCCGAGCGCCAAGTCTCAGCTGACAAGTGCATTCCATTCATGGCCGATAGAGAAATGAGTGACCATATGGTGCGTTTTGGTGTTTGTTTCAAGCATGCCTTTTTTGGTAGGCTTAAAGGGAAACCAAGAGCAACACTATGGTTTTGGGGAGAAACATATCTACCCGTATTTTCAGCAAGTGGGCTTAAATGGAGATCAATGTACTCGCTTGCATCACGGAGCCTTTCCATTTGTCTTCTCTCTCTATCTTAGTGGTAGCTTATGGGACTTCCGAATTCTGAGATCCACTTTTCTGCAGATTCACATGGAACCCTCAACATCATCGTTAACCCCTTTGTTTGTGTTCCATGCTAATCTGGGGAGTCAAAGTCACTTGCCCATTTGGACCACGGCCACCGCCCAATTTGTTTTTAGTCGGATTTTGGTCGGCCGCCTTTCGAGGCGTGGCAACCAGCGGGATCGACAACTCGGCCTTCCTGGCGTGACTTTGCGGTGAAACCCGCCCACATGGCATGATGGGTCTCTGTTGAAATGCCCCCGCCCCTTCGGCCAAAAAAAAACGAGGGGGGTCCCTTTGTCCATTTCCAACAGCCCAAAACATGGTACCCACCAAAAATGTATGCTCTTTGAGTAGGTAAGCAGAGGAACCCGCCGTTCAGCACAATTGCCTGGTACCCTATGGAACGCAGGAGCCCTCAGGTTGGGGAGCTGAGGGAGAAATACCGGTGGAAATGGAACCCCAAAATGCCAGCCGTTTGAAACCCCTTTTGGGTTCCATGAAAACGGCAGGGAAGTATTTGGGCAGCATCGATTCATGGGCTTCTGCATCATGTGTCGACTGATTCGGCATCTATGTCGAGTAAGGCCACTTCGACCCTAGAAAGCCCTGCAGGGGAAAGGTACTTTTGTGGAGACAGGGGCGGTGCAACTTTTAAACACCCCCATAGGAAAGAAGGAAGCCAAGGGGAATAGCCGACAGTGTGCAACGGCATCTCAGCTGCCCAGATTTTGGCATCTCGATACTTTCTGAGATCATCATTCTGGTGGGAGGTGCAAACCACAGATTTTGGTCTGTTGTCTTTCGTGGGTACCTGTTTTGGGTGGTGGTTTTAAAGCAACCACCATGTTGGGGGTCCCTCCCCCCAACAAGACAACCCTTTGAGGGCCTCTGCACTCAGCAGGCTTGGCGTTAGGGGGCTGACAGATGGGGTCTAGACAAACCACGACAAGAGATGGATCAGCGACACGTTACAGGAGAGCAACAGCTTTGGGGTTCGCAGTCAAGTTGCTAAGAGAACCTGAGAGTGAAACCTGGCATTTGGGGTGTCTCTATTGGGCAGGGCGAACCCCAAAATTTTGGTCTCCAGTTCAATTCGCCTGAGAAAAGGCTGCCCAGACACCCATTTTCAGCCCGGAAGAGGCCGCGGCGCCTGGCGCGGCGTTTGGATCCGCCAGGTGAAGATCTGGATGCCCAGCCGCCGCGAGGAGCCCATGCCGCCCCCTGGCCTTTGTTGGGTCGCTGGAGGGCGGGGTGCGGGGCGGGCGGGCGTGGAGGGCGAGGGCGTTGGACCCGTAGGTCCTTTTTGGTTGATTTGGGTTTTAGAAATAGAGGGTCCTGGTTTACCTGGTGGTGAAAAATCAACTACCAGGGCCATCTATTTTCAACCAAAAAGGACACCTATGTTCACGCCTAGCCACCGATTCAAACCAAGATGGGGGAGGCTAATGACAGGAGCTCCGGATGCAGAGTGACCATCTTTTGGGAACTGTTTAGTCTCTCTTGGCGGGGAAAAAAGGCACTTCTTCCATGTGCTGAACTGATAATTATTTTTTTCCCCTGTTGGTTTTAAAGGAAGTCGATTTCACTACTGGGCAAAAAACCAAGGGGCAAAAAAACAAGTGGAAGTTATGTGTTCTACTCTAGACGAATCTAGAATCCAGAGGTCAATGTGTGCTCACACCTCAATGTGTTCTGGATCCAAGCTTATGTTGGGATGATGTTGACTTTCGAATCCAGAACACTTGGCTGTTTTTCTGTCAGCTTCAAGCTGGTTTCGGAAGTGCCACCTTTGATTTGTTTGAGAGCTCTAGAGACAAACATCAAACAGCAGGATCAAGAGCAACCCTGTGGAAATGTTGTTGGTACACAGGTGCGGTTTAAACAAAACACGTCAATCATTCACGAATCGCACAATGTTGACCCTAGATCAACAACTCCTGTTTATTAGTAGGCGGGTGTCCCTGGGTTTAGTGGGGAATCAGGCCACTTTTTGAGGGGAACACCCCTATGAACAAACTGGGGTTTATGAATCCGGGTCAACATCATTCATCTGTAAGTTTCAGCGCTCACACCGGCCGCACGTTTGCACGTTTGCGGGGATCGCCGTTTTTTCTCGCTGTTTAGTGCACCAGCAGGTCTTCGTTTTGCGGTCTCTCTGTATGTAAACAGTGCCTGTTTCTACCTGAATGTGTGCATCTGGTGCTTTTTGCCTGAGGGTGATGGGATTCCTGGCAAACGAGCTAGTGCCCATTGCGAAGACTTGGACGTAAAAAACACATTCTGCACGGCAAGTCACGTGTAAGCGTGAGCCGACTTTAGACTGCTTTCCCAGCCTGCCCCAAGCATCAATCAGTCTGCATAGGCCAGGCCTCTAGTGCCTTGTGGTTTCCTCTCGAAAGGTGTTTTTGTTTCTACAAAATGGCACCGCCTTCGTTCCCCAAAGATGACCCATCTTCATTTCAGGAGAAACAACACCCAGCTCTTGTTTTGGGGAGCAAAACACCCAGTGCTGTTTGGGGGGTGGGGGGGTTATCTGTTTGTCTTAAGACACACCCAGACACCCGCCGCGCTTCGCGTTTCTTTCCCCTTTTTCCGATCGAAGGCTGGACCTTGCGGAGTTCCCCTGGGCGGATTCCTCGGGAGAGGCAAATTGCCAAAGCCATGCGCCGTGGGGAAATGGGATGTTGGAAGAGAAGCCCGGGGAAGATATTTGTGGATTTTCTGCCAAGGGCGGTTGCCAGCGAATCGTCCAGTTCAACTTGGGTTTGTAGATGGTTTAGTAGTTGGGTTTTCATCAGTATGGAATAGCCATGGAATGAAAACCAACCGGGGGAAATGAACCACCTTGAGCCGGAAGAGCTTTCATCTATGCTCTTTTGGTGGAATCTGGAGGCCCCCTCCCCCCCCCCCTCCGGCCGGTGTTCTTTGAGTGCAAACAGGATCCTGGAACCAAGATACTAAGATAGACCCTCGGTTCTTGCTTGTTTTTGGGGGCATGTAGTTTTATCATAGCATGTTTCCATGCCACGGCCAATGCGCCGTTTGGCTCAAGCTTTTCACTGCGTCAATCCCCGTTTGCTGTTTCGTCGCTCATAACCCGCGGCGTGGCACGTCATCCCGCACCTGAAAAAGGACGGGCTGACGCTGCTGCGGTGGGCTTCTGGGTGGAGCAGGTCGGATTGGGGTTTGGTGGTGTGCGTGTTGTTTGCTTGCTTGCTCGCTGTGCTTGCCCGCTCGCCTGCGTTGGTGCTGCTGCTCTGCCTCCGCTCGCTGTCTGCCCTTGCTGGGCTCATTCTTCTGTTTGTTCAACTGGCACCCTTTTGGTTCGTGTTTGTGCCGGCCGAGGGCAACCGCTTTGCCCTTGGGACCGGGGGGATAAGGTGGTCTCTTCTTGTTGGTGGGTTAGGGCCTGTTTTATCCATCCCGAAACTCTGTTTCAAACCCTTTCGCAGGTTATCAGCCGTAGGATTCGTCCTCGGTTGGCACCGCGAACCCCTTTTTAACAACCCTGCAGGCGCTGTAGGTTACTGTATATATGATGGCAGGAATCACTGAGGATGGACCTCATGTGGTGACTGATGAATGGGTTCTCGGCCAGGCCGGAATCTTGGACGTTGTGAATGACGACCAGGTGCCCGGACAGCCGATGTTTTCCGGTCCTGACCTTTTGTCGGACCATACTTTTTCAGAAGCAATGCCTTCAGGAAGGTCCAGTGCTACTCGCACTGATGACCTATCGTCTAATGCCTCAAGAGCTAATCGCTCTCAGGGTCATGGGGCTAATCGTCCTGACCATGATGATTCCGTCTCAGGACGTGATGATGACGAGCCCGGTATTGCACCTGGAGCTCAATCCTCATCTTTCCCGGAGCTGATGAATATTGGTCAGTCCGAGTTTCGTGATTCTCGAGGTAGCAGTAGACCTGTGCCAACCAGTAGCATAGCTTTTCAAGTGCTCGGTAATCCCGAACCTGGTACATCGAGTGGAGTTGCATTTGATGTTCATCTGCCGACCGAGTCCGGTGGGCTCGATTGGAGAGCCTCATGGCCCAACGACGGAAACATTTTTGGTATGGATTTTGCCGCATGGATGCCAGGGCCACCCGCCCCGTCATCTTTCCCGCAATTCCAAAGCCCAAAACGGGCTGCTGGAAGCGATGAATTCATGCTACCTTTGTCGATTGAGAATCTCAATCCTGACGTGGCCAGCCGTAACGTCAGGCCAAGGCCGTCGGTAAACCCGACCATGAGGAACATGTCCCCTCCCCCAGGACTTTCAGGATTTGAGAGCCCTAGGGAGCGTAATATCGTAGATAGATTGGATTTGCATCCCAGTCCAACCCCAAGCAAACGATCAAGGTCAAATTCGACTGGATCGCATAGGGCAAGGGGGATGGATCGGGAAACTGCCCACAGGGGTAACCCCAGTGCGCGGGACTCCGGACGCGGTCGATCAGGTGATCCAGCGTCGATCATTGGTAGAGACCCGCTAAACGCGGACACACTCGTTAACGTGCTTGATGGGATCGAAGCATTCCAGGAGGAATTTAATAGGTCAAGTGGCTTGAATGCCCAAGGTGTTCGCCCTACGCCCAACGCGGCTTCCATTTTCGCCCTGGACGACATGGACGGAGCTAATGTTCCGATAGAATCTGAATCCATGATGGCATCAAGTTCTAGTCGCAATCATACCATCAGTAATGCGACTGATATTGAATCGATGTCTGAGTCTAGAGTGTCCAATGCGACCGACTTGAATGACATTGTTATTGCTGACTCGAGACCTGATGTTCCTATGCGAATGGATAGGCCTGTTGTTCCTAAACTGCCCGTGGCCAAAGGCCTGGGCATGACACAACCCTCTGCGGTTCGTGATGCTAGGAGATCTGCTCCGTATCAGAGTCAATCTCCTAATCGGAGTGAGTTTCCACGGCCATCAACGGCCGTGCAGGATGATTTCAGAACTCCTCCGAGATCTAATCCAATCATGGTTGATTTGTCCACTCCTCGAGATCGCGGATCAGGATTTGGTCCTACGAGTGAGGAGCAACCCAACGAGGTTGCTGATCTTGTAACAGCCCTTGAAAGAGGGAGAGTGGACTCTTCGGTAAGTGCGATTATTCATCGCCTGGTTGCTAAGGTCGAAGACCTTGGTCGTAGGAATGATAGAAGTGATCAATGCATCAAGCAGCTCTCCACTGAGGTTAGCTCGTGGAGGGCCAAATACGACCAATGCGTCCATATGAGTGGCACGTGTACGCAGGCTGCGAACGCGGCCATGCAGCTATCACAAGGGACTAAGGACATCGTGACCGAGCTTGGCCAACGCGTCAAGATCGTTGCCGATCGCATGATAAGCATAGGCGATGCCCTAAACGAGCGAGCCAGCTATGATGATGTTGCTCGCTCCATCACCCAGGTTCAAACTGTTTTTGAATCTCTTTCTGATCGAGTAACCGGGCTTATAGCTCGTGTTGATATGATCGAGAGATCTCTAGTGGAGAGCCAATCCAACCATCCTGCTATTGGTGGAGTGAACCTCAAAATCGAGGACCTGTCCACTAGGGTATGTCAGATTGATAGGATGATGCAAGATGTCGAACAACGCTGGACCAACAATAGGGACGGCATAAAGTGGGTTAAAGACCAACTTTATGAGACACAAGCCAACCTTGAGATGAAGTCAAGGGACTGCAAATCCTACACGGACAAGCAGAATACTCATAACATGGCCGTTTCGACTACGCTCAACAGTAAGCTCGAGCAAATGCTCGAGGTGCTGGGTAATACGGCCCAGAGAATTAACTCCCTCGAGTCAAGGCACTCGAGCCAGGCCTCAAGTAGTGGATTGAACGATCACACAGGAGGAAGGCGAGCCGCGTCCCGTACTCCGGATAAGCGGCCACCTCCACCTGGCCCTCCTGACGGTGATCCTCCACCACCTCCTCCTCCAGATTGGCAAAGCCCAGGAGGAGGGGGGAAGAAGAGTGCTGCCGGTGGGAACCCTGGCAACCCTGGTAAACCCAGATGTAAATATGTAGGTGATGGGTATAATCATCTCGTGGCTGAGTTTCACTGCAAGGGATGCAGAGGTGATATTTGTGAGTATTGTTTCTCATTTAAAGAGAACCTGTGTGAAGAATGTTCCCGTAACGGACCCCGATGCGGAGTCTGTAGGGAGAGCTCGTTCCTGACCAAGGGAATTGAGTGTCAATTTTGTAAGACCTACTACTGCACCAGACATTCTGCTGGGCAGGATGACTACAGGAGATTTGGATTTGTCCAGGGTCCCTGTTGTCTTGCGTGCCTTAGGGACGAGACTAGGAGAAGAAGGGATCCCGATGGTAACCGTGTCAGGAATAGGTCGCCTGGAGGCATACCTGAGACGAACCCGACGCGGTCGTTCTCGCCGCCTCTGCGGCCACCCGTTGACAGATTCCGTGACACCCCAACTGGGGGTCAGCCCGGTGCGGCTAACAGAGTTACGCAGCCCCTGGATAAACGTGAAACCGGATATTATCCAGGATTTGATCCCAACGGTGCAAGGCCGAAGGATCCTTCAGGCCTTGAGCCGCCGACCATGCGTGGCCCCGATCCTCCTGACAAGAAATGTCGGATGTGTGATCGGGATATTCCTGATCCCAGTAAAATTGAGGAATGTAAGATATGCATGAAAAGGGCATGTGAGATTTGTATTCCGAAGGCTACACGCCTTTGTCCTGTGTGTGCATTGTCAATCGGTAGTTCTCAGGTTCCACAGCATCTTTTCGGAACTGGTGGCGGCGGATACAGTAGCCACCATGATCCGAACTGTACAGCTGCGACTAAGTGCATTTCCATAGACCTCCCGCCAGAGCCCGACGCGGCTGGGCTGAGGGTATGGATAGCCAATATGAAGGAAGCTGTTAGCAATGCCTACAGCTATGATGGACTTTACGTCATCAATTGGCTAACTGAAGTCGAGAAGGCAAAGACCTTTGATGAACTGGATGGGGAATGTAAATACCACATCCTTGAAGCCAGGTTCAATGCAGCCATTCGGAAGTGCATCAAGACTGTTGCGATCATCGATAAGATTAATCGTCTCACCGAGGCCGCTCAACGCTCCAACAATCGCATCAAGAGTAGGCAGATCCTGTGGCTCTTATACGACCACTTAAGGACTGCGAAATATCGGAGAGCAATCGTTCAGGATAATTGAGCTCTCAAACTTGCGATGCAGTGTTTCATCTTTCTATACTGAAGAGGAGCGACTTGAAAGGTTCATCGCGAAGTGGGATCACATCCTTGCGGGTCTCGATGAACCGCTGACCGAACAGGTGAAGCGGTCGCTATTCAGTGAGAAGGTTAGACACCTCAACTGTTTGGCTCATGATATCAGGGAATGGGATAGGAACATATCCAACCCTGATGTTTGTAGCTATGAATGGCTTCGTGCTCGTTGCAAGAACGAAATTGACCGCTGGAGGGTTCGTAAGAATCAGGTCAATATGCACAAAGACTTTTACGAACGATCTCAGTCCAGGGAGAGAGCCCAGAAACCTGGTGCTCCTGGTCCTCCCGTTAGGAGACGATCTCCGTTTGGAGACTCCCATAGGCCTAATCGGCCTCCTAGTGATCCAAGGAA